AGTCACCAGACCATGCATGACTTGAAGGGCCATATGAAGTAATTCACTACACTACAGAAGTGTCATAAAATTGTAGGAATCAATGTCCCCAGCTTCACCAGGATTTGCCCATATGCCCCTGTGATAGTTAATGTTTTGTGCCAACTTGGCTGGGCCATGATTCTCAGTGGTTTAGCAGTTATGATATAGTTACCTCCCATGATGAGATCTGATATAATGTAATTACCTCCATGATGAGATCTGCTGTGAACAGCCAATCAGTTGAAAAGGAGTGTCCTTAGGGGTGTGGCTTGCTTCCAATATATACGGACTTCCTGGCAAAGCTCCCTGGCTTTTTCCTCAATCTGGATCCTACATTTGGCTCATCACCATGGGACCTTCAGTTCTTGGACTTGAACCAATGGACTGCTGTATTGCCTGCCAGTTTTGGGGTTGTTGCCTTTGCAGCTTGTGAGCCAATAGCCTGCCATCTTACCTGCTACTCTTGGGTTCATCAGTCTCTGTAGCCCCTGCAGTCAGGAGAAACCTCTAGCCTGATGTGTCTGACCCACGGACTTGGGACTTGCCAGCCTCTACAACTGCATGAACCATTTCTTTGAGATAAATCTCTCTCTCTCTCTCTCTCTGTCTATCTATCTATCTATCTATCTAGACAGACAGACAGACAGATAGATAGATAGACAGATAGAAGCTTCACTGGTTCTGCTTCTTTAGAGACCCCAGCCTAAAACAGTCCTCATTCTTCCCAATCAAGGCCCTTACATTGACAGTAGGCACTTTGTGAGGTTGGGAATTCCATTTTTATTGTAATGCAGCCACTCACAGGGTGAGACTCTGGGTTTGCTTTTCAGCAACCTCAGCTCTGAGGTTACAAAAAACATGGGTTTCAAGTCAGACACAGATGCTTTCAAGTCATTCATGTGGCACTTGAACTAAGAATTTGAAGCTCTGAGCACATCTTTTTATTTTCCCACTTTCTCTGTTGTTGTTGTTGTTTGCCGTCGAGTTGGCTCCGACTCATAGCGACCCCTCCTTGGGTTTCCAAGGCAGTACCACTACGGAAGTAGGATTGCCCAACCTTCCTTCCGAGGAGTGGCTGGTGGGTTTGAACTGCCAGCCTTCTGGTGAGCAGTCAAGTGCCTTAGGCACTATGCTACCAGAGCTCCTCTTTCTCCACTTTCTCTAGCAACCAGCTAATCTCCTAAAGTTGACCAAAAATTGACCTAAGGTATCAAATATGTGATCACCCAAAACCTTACTTTTTGGAAGTATTTCATTGTTGTTATTGTTGTTGTTAGGGGCCTTTGAGTTGATTCTGATCCATAGAGACCTGTGGTACAATGGATTGTTTTTATGTGGCCTTTCTAGTCATGGTTTTGTAATTCTCACCAAATGATTGGCTGAGGCTTTACTGAGATAATTCAGAAATGGTTACAGCAGTATATTGACAGGGAACTTTCCAAAATTCAAGCTGGATTCAAAAGAGGACATGGAACAGGGAATATCATTACTGATGTCAGATGGATCTTGGCTGAAAGAAAAGAATACCAGAAAGACGTTTGCCTGTGTTTTCCTGGATGGAGTGGGAGAACAATGTGGAACAAAACAAAAAAAAACCCAGGTTTGCTGGTCTGATAGAACCTGGTGAAACCCCTGAGACTGTGGCCCCTGGCTGCCCTTCAAATCTGGAACTGAACTCTCTCCTTTGGCTTCCAGCAAAATAAAAGATCAGCATATGGGCTGAACATTTACATCAGGTAGATGCACTCCTTGGAGAAATCCATTATGGGAGAACAGAAGGGCAGTGTATGCTCAGGGACACAGCTCGGTGGGCAGGAGTGCATGGGAGGAAAGGACACAGGGAAGAAGTGGGAAGAGAGCTGCTATACTGTAGAAAATTGCAGTCAATGTCATGAGACAAAATGGGTATGAACTATTGTATGGAAAATGAATTTGGTGTGTAAACTCACCCAAATCACAATAAATTTTTTTAAAGATGTTTCCCTGTGTTTTATTGACTATACAAAGGCATTTGACTATGTGGATCATAAGAAATTATGGATAACACCGAGAAGAAAGGGAATTCTAGAAAACTTAATTGTACTCATGAGGAACCTGTACACAGACCAAGAGGCTGTTGTTCAAACAGAATAAGGGGACACTGTATAGTTTAAAATCAGGAAGGGAGTGTGCCAGGTTGTATCCTTTCACCATACTTATTCAATCTGAATGCTGAGCAAATAATCCGAGAAGCTGGACTACATGAAGAACCTGAGATATGCAGAGGACACAGCCTTGCTTGCTGAAAGTGAGATGACTTGAAGCACTTACTGATGAAGATCAAAGACCATAGCCTTCAGTATGGATTACACCTCAACATAAAGAAAATAAAAATCCTCACAACTGCACCGATAAGCAACATCACAATAAATGGAGAAAAGATTGAAGTTGTCAGGGATTTCTTTTACTTGGATCCATAATTGACACTCTTGAAAGCAGCAGTCAAGAAATCAGATATCATATTGCATTGGGCAAATCTGTTGCAAAAGACATCTTTAAAAAAGTGTTAAGGAGCAAAGATGTCACTTTGAAGACAAAGGTCCCCTCACCCGAGCCATGGTGTTTTCAATTGGCCCTTATGCATGTGAAAGCTGGACAGTGAATAAGGATGACCGATGAATTGATGCCTTAGAACTGTGGTGTTTGTGGAGAACACTGAAAATACCATGGGCTGTCAGAGGGATGAACAGATCTGCCCTGGAAGAAGTGCAGCAGAAATGCTCCCTGGAAGCGAGAATGGCCAGACTTTGTCTCACCGACTTTGATCATGTTGTCAGAGGGGACCATTCCCTGGAGAGGGATGTCTCATGCTTGGCAAAGTGGAGGATCAGCATACAAGCGAAGACCTTCAACTCAACAAGATGGACTGACACAGTGGCTTCAACAATGGGCTCAGGTATGGCAAGGACTGTGAGGCTGGTGCAGGACCAGGCAGTGTTTCATTCTGCTGTACATGGGTCACTGTGAGTTGGAGCTGACACAATGGCACCTAACATGCAAAAAATGTGCCTGTGACCCAAGGGCTTGGAGAGCTTGGTAATGATACAGATTGGGGGTGGGACTATGCAAATAAGGTATACAGAACACTAAGGAGGAAACTGGTTGGTTCTGCCATCCTGCTAGGCTTCAAATCTCATCCAGGCTTAAAGTGGCATCCCCTGGTGGGGGGCAGCATGGTGAGCTTCCCAGCTCATGGGGAGAGCTGAGTGCCTCTGGGCAGGAGGCTTGCTGGCAGAGTAGGTCCCTCCTGGCACTTGGCAGTGGAGCTAGACCTGCCAACCCACGCAGCTGGAGAGAGCTGAGGTCCTTTGGGCCAAGGTTTACTGGTGGAGTGGGGTGCCTCTGGGCCCTTATCAGTGGAGGCCTGAGCAGGCCCTGAGCAGGGACAAGCAGAGCATAAGAGGCTGTCCTGATTCTGAATTGTAACCTTTCACAGCCCTCATGAACCCCGTAATCCTGAACATTGTGAACTGTGTGTGGTCACTGCAATGAGCGATTGAGCCCAGCAGAGAGGTGGGGTGCTGTGGGAGGCAGAGCTTGTGTTGGAATTGAGGAAAAGGCTAGAGAGAAGGAGGTGACTGCCTCGTAGCTATCAGCCTTGGGCTGTTGATTCAATCCTCCGCCCTCCTTGGGAAGTCAGAGGTCAGATGCCCCCCTTTTTCACACAACCCCACATGAAAGAGTAGAATTGCCCCAAGGGGTTTTCTAGACTGTAATTCTTTATAGGAGCAGACTGTGGGTTTTCTCCCAGAGCTACCGGTATATTCAAACCAACCTTTTGATGAGCAGCTAAACACTTAACTGTGGTGTCACCCAGGAGTGTTCAGGGTTGCTTTTCTATTGCCACCTCACACACACACACACACACTTTCTCTCTCTCTCTCTCTCAAGGACAATCGGTGCCTGCCTTAGGACAGGAAGTAGCCATTGTACCTTTCAATCCTACCAGATTAGAGAACTAGCTCCCGCAATCGCAGAGCCAATCCAGAAAAGTGTCCTTAAGGTCCTGTTCTGTAGAACTGTTCTCAGTCCCATTGGAGAGATCTCCTGTGAACCCACCAGCACCTCACACACACACGCACAGTTATTTCTTCCTTCTCAGGGAAACCTCAGCTCAGCTCTGAAGACCTTCAGCTGATTGGATGAAGCCCGCTTGGACTATCAAGGATCTTTACTTAAAGCGACTGTTAACTGCACTCTTGCAGGATGCCTCCCCTGCCACATCCCAGAAAGTGTGGGATTAATAACTGGGTCCACTATGGCCTGGTCAAGCTGACACATACAACTGACCCCCTACCCCAGCAGTTTCTAGTCTTGTGTTTTACATTAAAACGTTAATTCATCTGGATTTTCATTTGTGGTTGTGAGGCAGACACATCCCCTGATCCCAGCACCATGTGACTGACCTGAGAGGCCAGGCCTGACTGGGCAGGACACAGTACACTCAGGGCCTGTCCTTGTCCCTGTTCCCGCTCCTTTGCTGCTTGACTCTGGGCCCGGCCCTGTGGCACCTGCCTGCAGAAGGCACTAATGGGCCAGTGTGTCCATTAGGCAGTGATCGGCACGTGCAGGAAGCCACAGGAAGCCGTGTGGGACAGGGAAGGACTTGAAAGCTGGAGCATGACAGAGGCTGCACCATGTGGGACAGAGGCGGCACCATGTGGGACAGAGGCAGCCAATAGGTTGAGGCCTGAGGGGTGGCAGAGGCCGCAGGCTGGCGCAGCCCTCAACTAGGACACCTTCACTGTAATCAAGATCAGAGACACCAATTTCAGCTTATACCTGACAGAAACTTTATTTGATCTTCATTTTAAAGCAATCAAGTTTAAAAATTAGTAGAAAGTGAGAAAGAAAAGTACACAGACCTACTCAGACACAAGGATGAATAGACAAATAGACAGAGACAGAGGAGGGAGAGAGGCCGCGGGTCAGCCGCCACTTCAGATCTTTTCCATCTTTGAAATCAGGTCGTCACAGATCCTTGTCAACTCATCGTTTTCTTTCGTCTGAAGGAAAAAGGAGAATCACTAGGTTTGTGCCCAACGCTCCAAGGGAGTGACTCAGTGGGGACAGAACTCCGCCCAGGGCAGGACAGAGGCTGGGAGGGGTGCCTTCCAGGACGCATGCCATGCCTGGCCCAGAGACAGCCTGCAGGGACCTCCTCAGGTCCCTCCTCCTCCTGACACCACCCCCCGCTGGTCCCCCGCCCCCGGAAGCCCCAGTTGCGGCCGTACCTTCTGCTCGATGGCCTTCTCCAGCGAGTGGACCCGCGTCTGCTCCTTCCGCAGGCTGGCCTGGAAGGCCAGCGCCTCCGCCTGGGCCTTGCTGCGCACCTGGGCGATCTCCTCGTTGGCTCTGGGGGTGCACGGGGAGGGTGCTGAGCCCAGCGGAGGCCACGGCCTGCTCTGCGGCCCGCCCCCAAGCCCGCTGGCTGCCCCACGTCCTCTGACGCGGCCCTCCCAGGACTCACAGACTCAGCTTCTCCTCCGCGTGGGCCTTCAGCGCCTGGTATCTCTGGCCTTCCTTCTCAATCCTCAGGATGTAATCCTCAACACACCTCTTCAGGGACTCTTCGTTCTTTAAAAGAGAAGAGGCTGTCAATTGTACACAGCAAGCAACTCGGTTCACCAGCTCCCAGTCTCGGCTTTTGGAAATCCCAGGGTCAGCTGTGTAGCCCCTAAGGGCTCTGTGGGTTCTTAGTGGTGAACACCAGAGGACCTAAGAAAACAGCACTTCCCGTTTCTTTTCGAAACAGGCCATCGTAATTCCAGAACATACCAGGGAGGATGGGGAAGGGGTGGGGCGGGGTGGGTGAGCCGCACTCAAGCAGTGGCTTGCCCCAAGCCCAGCAGAGACTTCTCCCCATCCAAACTCCCTGAGTACAGCTGTCACCCTGTGACACCCACTTGGTACAACCCCCTCCCGGCACCTCCTGCAACATGAAGACAGGACCCCTGCCTTGCTGCCAGTTCGGGATGGCCCCTGGACCTCTGGTGTGGGAACCCGTCCTCGGCAATGACCGTCTTCCTGGTGCACAGAGCCCGCCCCACGTAGCCCTACCTATGCCTGAGCGCGAAGCACTGCTGGAGAAGGTGGACTGTGCACTGGGCCCGCCCAGCAGCTCCACCCCCAGCTCCTCTCTCCCTGCGGGTCCCGTGTTGTTGGTCCGTCCTCCCTCCCTTGCTGTGCAAAGATGGCCTCGCTCACTGTCCATAGTCCCCTGGGTCTGCTCATGGCCAGAGAAGACCTGCCTGTCCCAGGACCGCTGCCATGCTCACCCCTGGCTGAGTCACGGTACAGCCTGTGGAGGAAGCTAACCTCGATACAGAGGCAGGGCGGACTATGAGGTGTCACAGAGCCTGTCAGTCCTATTCCCTGGTGGCTCTGGGCACACCACGCCCACCTGGAACTTCTGTAGCTCTGTTCCGACGGGCTCTTTCCCTGCCTTCTTCTTCTTCTTTTTTTTTTTAATTATTATTAGGATTTGGGTGAAGATTTACAGAGTAAATTCACTTTTCATACAGCAGTTCACATATACTTTGTCTCATGTCATTGACCAAAATTTACAATGCAGCAGCTCCCCTCCCACTTCCTCCCCATAGTTACCTCCTCCCAGTGTCCATCCCTTCATACTCTTCTGCACCCTGAGCTGTCTCCCTGTGCATAAGCAGCCCTTCCTTCTCCCATGATTGTTCTCTCCAGGGCGTGTGTCTACTTGAGGTAAATGTTTAACTCACATGCCTGTACTTTGTTTGGCTGGAAACCACAGTTGTGGGTTCAATTCCAGACCTGAAGGGCAGCTAGGGGCCATAGTCTCAGTGGTTACACCAGGCTCCATTGGACCAGCAAACCTGGTCCCCACCTTCTTCTTCTTTTTTTTTTTTTTGCCTCCAAACAATTTTGAGTTTTGTACCACTTTGTTCTCCCTCTTTATGTAGGATCTCCTACATCATTCACATGAACTTATAGGCCCATTGTCTGCCAACCCCATATATGATCTTGGATACACTCTCCATTTAGACACACCCAATTGTTCAGCCTGTTCACCCATCTATCCGTCCCTATACCCATGTTTGCTTTCACTGACAACTCAGTACTGTATATGCAAAGGGGTTCATATTTGTTGTCTGTACTGCCCATGTAACTCTATGTCTTTCTCATCCTCAATGCTGCCATATTGGTCACTCACATTTGGTACATTGCCCTTCTCTTCACCCAAATCAATATTTATCTCTATCTATCTAACAGCATTCCCTCCCCTCCTCTCCCACCCCTGGTAACCAACAAAGAAAATGTCCTCCAATAGATAAACCTTTCCTTAACTTTTACAATAACGGACTAATACAATATTTGTCCTTTTGTGACTGACTTATTTCGCTCAGCATAATGTCCTCCAAGTTCATCCACGTTATGCGGTGTTTTGCAGATTCTACATTATTCTTTAGCGTTGCATAGTATTCCATTGTGTGAATGTACCAAAGTTTGGTTATCCATTCCTCAGTTGTTGGACATCTAGGTTGTTTCCAAGTTTTGGCTATTGTAAATAGTGCTGCGATGAACATCGGCGTGCATGTATCTGTTCTTGTTATGGCTCTCACTTCTTTATTTCCCTGCCTTCTTGCATACCCGGTGATTTTGTGCCAGATACTACGCACAAAACAACAGAAATGACAAAAGGCTTCCATTTATGCCTCCTCCTGACGATGGCTGGGGCCAGGGCCACAGAAGACCACCCGTCACATGTCAAGGACTGAAATGGTCAGAAGCAAAGCCACAGTCCGGGTTGGTCCTGAGCTAGCCTCCAGCTGCTCAGCCCTGGGCTCCCCCAGCCTTCAGCCACCTGTCAGCAATCATCCATCCTTCTCTGACAATGTCCGGCATACAGCTGAGCCCAAGCCAGCTGTCCATGTGCGTGGGCCATCCCGTCCCCTAACCGAAGCAGGGATGTCTCTCAAAACCTCTCATGGCAGCCCATGGCATATCGCCAACCAGCTCCATTCACCCCTCCTGCTGCCGTGGCTCCACCCGCCTGCCCTGGGTCCATGGCGGACCAGCTCTGTCCACCCCTCCTGCTGCCCTGGGTCCATGGCGGACCAGCTCTGCCCATCCCTCCTGCTGCCCTGGGTCCGTGGCGGACCAGCTCCGTTCACTCTCGCTGCCCCAGGCCTATGATGGACCAGCTCTGTCCACCTCCCCGCTGCCCTGGGTCCGTGGTGGACCTCCTATGAGCATAAGCACTTGCCCTTCTCAGTAGGGGCACTGGAGGACGTGGCAGAGGGAAGTGGCTCGGTGGTGGCTGTGGCGCAGGGGTTAGGAGAGTGGGTAGAGAACACAGATGGAGCCGTCTCAGCCTCGTGCCCAGAACACAACGTCCCCCTACGACCTTGCAGTGCTGGTGCAGCAGCCAGGTGACCTCTCCCATGGCCCCCGACATGGATACCACGCACTGTAGGCCTCCTGCCTCAGCAGCACTAACCTCCCTCCTGCTCCTCCTCCCAGTCCCTGTCTGATCTGTCCCCGTGGCCTCCGATGCGGCCGCACACCACCACCAGGCTGGCTCGCCTGCTACTGCAAACTGGCTCCAGTCCAGCTCACGCACCGACTCTACTTTCCAGGGGATCCCACGAGGTCTGAGCCACGCCTCAGAGGCGGTCCTTCCCTCCCTCAGTATCTCCCGGTCCGTGGAGCCTGATGTCTCACAGCAGCTCCATCAGCGAGTCTGTATTTCACTCCCGTTAAGCCACCCATTTAAGACACTGACTAGACTCGACAACAGGATGTGGGTCTTCAGGGCGTCCTTGCTGGCTGGACACGGTGCCGCCCCCGTGCCTGACAAACATGGCTGTGCCCTCTGTCCACCCTGCCTGGCTTCTTTAGCCGCCTGGCTCGTGTGCCCGCTGTGACACTCCAGCCTGCCCCGGCCACCGGAGTCCTGTTCCAGGCCCTGCCTGCACAGCCTTCCTATACACGATGGCTCTCCCAGTCAGGTCAGGCCACGGGTGGCCACAGACCGCCCACCCCCACAGAACGTGCCCCAGTGCAAAGGGAAGGCGAGGCCGGACACAGAATCGGGTTATTTTCACAAAGGAGGCTGACTGGGCTTCTGGACCCGTGGGGTGAGACGAGGTCGGCATGGTCCCGTCACTCCTGCCCGCTGTGTACCTGAGAATACTTGGGCAGGACCAGGACAGATGCCACCCCGTGTCCCTGTGACACGTACCTTGTGGTAGCCTTCAATCACTTCCTTCTGCTTCTCAAGACGCTTGAAGAGATCAGAGAAAGACTTTTCCATGGAGTCCAGGTCTGCCGTAAGCTGATCACGTTCTTTCAGAATCTTTTGGATCTTGGCTTCGGCAAGTTCCTTCTCTTTCCTAGCCTCCTCTTCAGAAAATAGAAGCACAACTGCATAAATTGCGTGTCACGAATGACGAAAGCCACGAGGGTGTGGCGGGGGAGGAAGGCAGCAGCTGCCAGGACGGTCCTCAGCGCCTGGCATCCCTCAGGGTCAGGAGAGCCCCAGGACACAGATGTCCCAACTGCAGCTCCACACTGGGCCCCAGGCACGTGGGCCCCAGATACCAGGCAGCCCAAGGTCCCCAAAGAAGAAGGATGGTGCTGAGGCACCCACGGGAGTGGCAGCTGCCCTGTGAGACTCCGGGCTGAGCTCCACGGCACACTCCTGGGAAGGGCAGAGACCAGGACCCAGAGCGCCTGCCCCCAGCCAGTGCTCAGTCTCCAAGGCACCCCCCCCAGATGTCACCGTGGGGGCTCCCAGGAGCTCATCCTTGACCCAGGCTGGCCTGTTACATGCCTCAGCTGCAGCCATGGATGGCGCGGTCAAGCTAAGCATGGATGGCGTGGTCATCCACAGTCACGGATGGCGTGGCCAAGCCAATCATGGATGGCGCGGTCATCCACAGCCACGGATGGCGTGGTCAAGCTAAGGTGGCCAACGACCTCGTGCCACCCCCACTGGCCTGGACATGTTGCCAGCTTGGGGGGGTGGGGGGCAGCAGGGCAGCTGGGCCAGGCCTCTGAGTGGACCACATTTCTCCCGTGCCCCTCACTCCCAGCTGCCCCAGCTGCCAGCTCAGGGTCTGGATGATCTGGGGCCTGCTGTGCATGACAGACAGACACCCCTCCCTTCACTGGCAGATGACTGGCCAACTCCTCCCACGTCCTCCTCAGGCCACGGCTGCTGCGGATCAGGAGGGCAGGATGTGGTCTGGAGAAGGGGCTGCGGGCAGGACACCCTCAGTGTCCGCAGGGACCCCAGTGCTAACTGGGCTGTCCCTAAGCATCCCACGCAGCCCTGCTTCTGGAGCTGGGGCAGACACTGTGGGAGCCCGGGCTGGGGCACTGGGTGCTCACCTGTCACCCGGCGTGCAATCCCTTCAAACTCATCCATGATCCTCCTGTGGGAAGAAAAGCAAGTGAGCTCTGGGGCCACGGGCCAGGGAGGCCGGGAACATGTCTGCTCCAGGGCCAGGGAGGTGGGGAGCTGGTCGGCTCCAGGGCCACATCCCGGGGAGGTGGGGAGCTGGTCGGCTCCGGGGCCACAACCCGGGGAGGCAGGGAGCAGGTCGGCTCTGGGGCCTCGACCCCGGGTGGCAAGGAGCAGGTCTGCTCTGGGGCCACGGGCCAGGGAGGCAGGGAGCAGGTCGGCGGGGAACACTCCATCGAGCCCGAGGCTCACCCCATCTCCTGGTTCCTGGTATAGAGCTCCTCACACTTGCTCTTCAGCTCCACGTTCTCCACTTGCAGGGCTCTCACCTGCACACAGCACTCACTGAGTCAGCGGGTAAGCTGGGGGCAGCCCCGGCCCAGTGTACGCAGGGTACAAGCAGGGCTGCCTCTACCCTGCCGGCAGGGATATGACCAGGTCTCGCCCCAAGTGTCTCAGGTGATATCCTGGGCATAGGAACCGCAGTGCCTTGCTGCCCACGGCAGCCCAGGGACACAGCATCCCCCCCACCCCGTATGTCATTGCCAAGCAGCCCTTACCGCGGCGTCCAGGTCCTTCTGGCTGTACTGCAGCACGTCCACGATGCGGCCCACAGACAGGGGCGGGCCCCCGGGCCCGAGGCCACATGGCGGAGGGCTCGGTACCTGCAGGACAATGGAAAAGCCAAGTGGCAACAGGTGCCTGCTGTGGCCAAACCTGGCTCCCCCCCATGCTCTAGTCTGACAAGCTCACCAGGTTCAGCCACAGCCCCGAGAGAGACTTCCTGGGAAGCTCAGGAGAGATGCGTGAACAGCCCCTAAGATGCAGGGCCATCGCACACCTGCCACTTCCCTGCTAAGGGCCCACCTCCCCGGGAAGGAAATGCTGGGTCGCGAGCAACACACGTCTGCACACTTCCCACAGAGACGGCTCAAACAGGACCCACCGCAGCATCCAGAGCGCCCAAGAAGTCAAACTCCACCAGCCTGGATCCTGGCAGGGTCTCCAACGAAGGGCGGACAGGGGCCTGGGTGCTGAGAGGCAGAGGAGACGGGCTGCAGCTCACGGAGCTGCGCTTTGGACAGACAGACTTCAGTACGAACGACCCAGTTCAATGACGCCCTCCCCTTACTTCCTAACGCAAAACCAATAAAGTAAAGTTTATGCTAAGTTGTGTGTCAAAACTACTAAATGCACGTGTTTTCTCCTGTGTGTGCTCTCAACAAGATAAAACTTAGGAGAAAAAACCAAAACACTTCCATCCATAGTATTTAGCAGGCCTGACTCCCTCCACCCCCACTGGCCCTCTCGCATTTTCTGCCCACCAGTGTGCCAGCAGTCACACCCAGGATGCTGGTCTGTCCAGCCACGGGCACGAACGCCATGCTGTGGCCTGTGCTGCGGCCCTGGCCTCGCTGGCACAGGCCTTCACTTGCTGGTGGCCCGCCTGTGGCACACATCTAACCGCTGCAGCCAGCTCTGCTCACATTTTTCTCTGTGGCTTGTGAGGCCTGTGCCACGCTGGAAGCTGTTCCCCTCAAACTTCCATGAATAAACCCTTACTGCATAGCACAGTGCCTAAGGCACTTGACTGCTAACCAGACGGCTGGCAGTTCAAGCCTACCAGCCACTCCTCAGAAGGAAGATGGGGCAATCTATTTCAGCAGTGATACTGTCTCGGAAACCTAAGAAGGGGTCACTATGAGTCGAGTCCAACTCGATGGCACAGACCAACAACTACTCCAGAGCAGGATGGTAAGCCTGCTATAAGGCCTGAGAGCTAATGTTCTCAGCTCTGTGGGCCACACTACCTGTCACAACTGCTCACATGTACTGCAATACCATGAGAGGAGCCACAGACAACCCACACGTATGTCAGGGAGTGGGGCTGTGTCCTAATAAAACTTTATTTACAAAAACAGGCGGCCAGCGGATTTGGCCTACAGGCCGTGGGCTGCTCACATTTCCTGTTGCTTTAACATTTAGACGTTTACCCCACTGGAGCAGCACACGTAATAAACCCACTTGCCCCTCCCTGAGGGACGCTAGCTGCCCCAGGAAATGGACTAGGGAGCAGAAGCCTAACCACCCCACACAGGGCTGGCCTGAGTCTGTCCCGTCCACCCACCCACCTTCCCACACGTCAGTCTTATCTGTTCCTCTCAAAGCCCTAGGCTCTCGTCTCCAGACGGGACCTGTGAGGCGCCTGCACGGCCACCTCCCTCCAAGGTGCTGTTCAGAAGCTGAGGCGTGAGTGTCTCACTGAGTCTATGGGTCCTGGTGACAGTCATCTCCACACTAGAAGCTTCAGAGCAGAGAGACAGTAGGGAGGCTCACCTGTTGGTCTCCGTGGCCATGGGATCCAGTCTGTTGGGGCTGTCTCTCAGGAGTGGGTCAAATTTGAGGTATAAGGACTGTTTCCTCAAGGCTGACTCCTTAAACTGAAGGGAAGACAGGACCGAGGGGCTAGGTCTCCCCTCTGTGACAGTAGCCCCCAGAGACATGGTTGGTCTCATCCTTGGCAGACCGGGCCCCGGGGTGAGCACGCACTCCTCTGTCCCCCATCTACCCGGTGAATGCCGGCCAGTGGTGCTGGGAAGATCCACCTTGGGTGACCACCTACTTTGGGGGCCTGCTCATAGGTAACCAGAAGAGGCAGCTTCAGAAAAGACACTGCCAGAGAATGGGGGTCCGAGAAAGACCGGTAGTCCCTGGGTGCCCCAACATGCTCGGCTGCTCCCCAGAAGCGGAGCCCATGCTCGGAAGAAAGGCCAGCCACTGAGAACTGCATGGAGCAGGCTCGTGCTGACACACACGGGGCCGCCATGAGTCACAGCTGACTCCACCACAGCTGGCCAGTTGCAGCACCCGGGCCTGGACCCTGGTATGAACCACCGCCCACCCATGAGTGAACAGGGAAAGTTGAACCCTGACTGGGTGACAGGCGACAGAACTGTTATACCTGGGGAGGAGGGGATGGGGGATGGGGGGATGGTACGGGGGGGACAAACAAACAGCAGCCAGGGTGATGTTTTAGGAGAACTCCCTTTCTGAGACAGACTCGTGGAAAGGCCGCCAGCAGACGGGTACTCACCGAGGAGGATCCAAACTGCTCCAGGTAATCAACCTCGGCCCCGGTGCCTAGGACTGGGGACAGGGAGTGTCACTGTGGCGGCCAGGGCTCCCCCACCAAGCGGCCAGCTGGGACTCCCACACAACCAGGGAACACCATGATGGCACAGCCACTGTCTTCCCCACTGCCCAGCTGAGCGCCTCCACGGTGGTACGCCCCACCCAGGGGGTGAGAACCCGCTCTGCGGCAGCCACAACACAGCCCAATCAGAACAGGCCTGACTTTGTTGGCAGAACGGTAACTAGAACGCAAATACCATGGGTCGGAGCTCTGAACATCAGTCTGAAGGGGCACGGGGAGCCCCTGCAAGAGGAGCCCCTTGAGAGACGGGATCACCGCCAGGACTGTGGACAGCAACCCCCACTCAAGGTGGTACAGGCGCCACTGCTCCTGACTGCCCGGCAAGAGGTCGGCTGCTGTGTAACACATCCTCTGCCTTGGTTTTCTAAGAGGGAGGTTAAGTCACCAGCAGGACAGGGACCTGTCATTTTCCTGGTCCAGTTATTATTCCAGGCACCCACATTTTGCAACTTCCAGTCCGTCCTAGTTTTACTTTAGCCATGAACTGAAAAGAACCGTTCAAAGCCCCAGCCAGAACGGAGACCCTATCCACACGTTTTAAAGCAGAAAAATGCTAAACTTTCATGGGGCCATGTGGGTTTGGAGACTGGGCCCCACCTGGCCCTTGTGCTGAGCACGGTTCCTAGGCTGGCTTCAAACTGCATCTCGGCTACACGAGCGCCTGTGCTCTCAGCTGAGGCCCGTCTGTGCCGTCTGCACTGCCCTGTCACGTCTTTTGCCTGCCCTCCCTCCCAGCACGTCTACAGTTTCTGTTTCTAAAAGCTTTTTATGCCAAGGTTATCAGCCCTATTCTGCTGAAAATGCCAAGCTTTTGAAAAACGGTTTAAAGTCACGCAACACAAGTGTCTATAGAATGGCCGCCTGCAGTGAAAGACCAAGGCAACCAACACAAGTGTGCAGAGCTGTGAACACAGCCCCCTGGCTGGCTGCAGGTGTGCCTCAAGCGGGCGGGGACGGACCAGGGGCTCCTGGCCCACGTACCTTCAGCTGAATCCCTGAAGCTCTCCTTGCTGAGGTCCAGGGTGAGGGCCAGATCAGTGGGCATGGCTGTCGGCTCACTGACTGTACTGCTCGTGGGGACCGACGTGTCCCAAGAACAACTTGTTTCCTTCTGGGAGGAAGGTCAGAGGTTGGCAAGCCCAGGGCCTCAAAAGTCCAGTTTGGGTCTTGCCTTGCCCACCAGTCAGGGGAGAATTGTGATGGTCTCCCTCCTCCCCCGGGGCCCCGCTGGGTCCACCCTGCTTCTTGTCTGCAGGCTGTGAGCCGTGACATTAATGGCAGGCCACACCCCGCTCCATGTAGCACACGTACCTCAGCAGCCGCTCTTGGCGCTCCCGCGGGGACCTGGACCTGAGATGTGGCAACTTGGACCTCAGGGGCACCATCAGGCAAGGCTGAACCTACCTGCCTGAAGAGACAGTTAGCAGGAGCCTGTGGGTGCCCTGGCACCCTCACTGCAAAGGGCCAGCCACCTGGGGCCAAACCAAGGGACAGCAGCTCAAATTTCATGTGCATCCCCCTCGTGAACAGGGACAAGGAGACAAGAACCTTGTCAGCAAACACCCAGGCGGGCAAAAGGCTGTGGGACACAGCATCAGGGCGACAGGGACGCCAGGGACTATCTCCCAGAGGTAATCCGCTAGTCACACTGGGACAGAGGAAGGTCCAGGTGGGGAGAGGTGGCTCTCAGAGTGTGCAGTGCTGGGGTCCCTGCTGGGGCTGCCTGTGCGAGTGGACACAGGTGCTGGAGGTTCCTGACCAACCACGGGGCCAGGAAGAGGCCTGGCTCCAGACAAACATCACATGGAGGGAGCCACACCTATGTGGTAATGGAGCGCTCGGCTGTTTGGCTCACAGATGTTTTTTTCCTCAGTAAAGATCATCTGAGCCTACCGTAAATATTCTCACAAAGCACACCGGTTACTAGTTAACAGCATGACAACAGCCACAGGAATGGGTTCCGACACCCATTTGGAACAGGGGGCTGGAGACAAGGGGTAGGGGGCTATGCCTCAGCGTGTGAGGGCCACTGTTCTCTCCATCACTCGGTACAACACCATGTACACCCTCATGTCTCCTGCGCTGGCTCGGGGGCCAGTGCCGCTCCCCCCAGCTCCTCTGCCCCAGTGCTCTTCCCACTGGGGCGTCTATATGGCCACAGAGGAGTGTAGTCAGTGGCCACTCTGGTGCTGGGCCTGTTGACTGTTGATACCTTGTACTTACTGATTTGGAGATGAGGACTCAGTGGTCTCGGGCCTAGCGCTGAGCGGCTTGGCTGTGGGAGAGGCTGACCTGGCCTCTGGTCTTTCTTGGGGCTGGGCCTCCACACATGTGGAACCACCTCCAAATGGATTGAAGTTTGGGTCATCGAGCTTGTCCCAGTCCAGGCTGTACGACCCCCGGGGAGCAGGGACGGGGTGCGCGTCTTCCCTGGCGGCCCCCCGGCCCTCATCTGTCTCCATGGGAGCCTGCCGGGCCTCCTGCTTGGCAGGGGGCTTGACGCCCGGCCTCTTTCCCAGTCTCCTGGGGAGAGGGGCTCGCTTGCTGGGAGCACCGGCAGAGAAGTCAAACTCCAGCTTGACAGGCTCACTCTTTGTGGAGGCAGCCGCCTGCCCAGGGCCCTCTTCTTTCTGAGGACTCAGGGACACAGCCCTTCCAGCTCTTGAAGGGCTAGCTGGGGCTGCGTCCACAAGACCTGAAGCACACGTGGGGGTCGAGACCCAGGCCTCATCTGAGGGCATGGGAGCCTTCGTACCACTGGCAGAGCTGGCTGGTGGCTTCTGCTCCTCCTCCTGGGGGCTGCATACGTCCTCAGGGCAGGCTAGTGCCTCGCCAGGCAGGTCTGCGAGGGCAGCCTCTCCACATGGTCCTTCTGGACTCACAGAGGGGAGGGAGGCAGCCTCAGTGGGAGCAGCACTGACCCCGCCAGAGGGTCCGGCCGAGGATTCCTTGGTGCCTTTGTGAGCACCCTCCGTCTTGTCCGAGGCCATCATCCTGGCAAAGTCTTCCGGGTTTTCAGAATTGAATGGAACCTCTTTATCTGAGAAGGAGTTATCATTGTCTTCCACGGCTTCCTCAAGGCCACCAGGCTCTGGCCTCAGAGACCACAGTGAGCGCTCGAGACTTGCTGGAGCTTGCAGGGAGCCTGAGGAGTCCATATTGCCGAGAAGTGTAAAGCCGGGGTCGCCAGCACTGCCGTTCCCCACTGGTCTCCCGGCACCTTGGGGTGGGGCTATGTCGGTTACAGGTGATCTCTGGAGAATTCCATCTACTTCCCAGGTCAACTGTGGGCTATTTTTAGAAAGAGACTTAGTTAGGACTATGGAACTTGCTAATATGCTTTTCATTAGATCTGAGTCCACATTAGCTGAAGATGGGAAAAAAGCATATTCAGTCAACCCTTCCCTCCAGACTGCATCTCCTGGGACATGGTAAGAGATTAATGCTGATGGACCACCTGGGAGACGTGGCCTTCTGAGAGACACAGCAGAGAGGTGACAAGACAGATGACAGGAGCTCAGGTTTTCTGCACTGCCTCGTTTCCCCTTTGAAGTGGGGACTACCAGAGGTACAGGCAGGGCTTGAGTCCGAATATAGGAGGGTCAAGCTTCGCTCCAGACAGAGGCCGACAGTGAACGTACCGCTTTTAAGGGAGCAGGGCCAAGTGGCTCCCCCGGCCACCTCTTCCTGCTGATGGAAGAGCCCCACCTACTGGGCCCAGGTGCCACCAGGGGCGCAGAGGGCCTCGCCCTCAGAGACAACGTATCCAGCCTTGTCTTCCCTCTAACAGTTCAGGGTTGCTGGGTACACAGGTGTCCCCAGACAGCGAGCTTCGGCAGACAAGATGGGTGATGGGCGGGAGGTCAAACTAGAGGGCTGTAGGGACCGCAACAGCCGAGATGTACTGCCGTGTCTGGGGGCAGTAAGCCACGCCACCCTCAAGTAGTCCCAACACATGGCTGTGCAAATGTGCCACAATGCTAATCACCTCAGTAAGCCTAGGTGACCTGGATGTGGGGGCCTGTTACCCTACCCTCTCAACTTTTCTCCAAGTGACAGGGATGAGAAGGGGAAAATACAGCAGAGAATTCTGAATTCTCATGGACTACAGACTTTCTGGAGCCGTGGAGGCTGGATGAGCCCCCACATTGTTGCTGAGCTCAACCTCAAACCTTAACCAAAAACACCTCTTAGACCCAACAACAAGTTTACCTTGGCGAGTAAAGAACGCCCGCCTGAGCAGCGTGCTCTTTAAGGTCTACACGGGATCAAAGCGACAACGGCAACTGGACAGATTGAGTGGGAACCTTACGGGGCTGGCCGCACAACGTGAAGGGCGTCGTCAGTGCTACCAAATCGTAGAAAACTGTCGAATGGGAGTATGTTCGACTAGGTACGTTCACAACAACAAATAGGAAAACACACAGAACGACTAAAACACACTGTCCGACACCACTGCTCCCAGCTGCTCTCCTCTTGGAAGAGTGGGGAGAAACTGGTTTACCCCCCAAGTTCTGACATTTGGGGGTGACATCACATGGCACGCCCTGACCTTCCAGGCTGCCGCACCAGCCACATAGGAGGATGGTGCAGCGTGGCTCAGCCTATCGGCACCCAGCCAGAGTCACCTGGCACAGGGGCGGCCTGCTCTGGCCACACTCCCTCAACAAGGAGCTCCATGAGGAGACCACCACAGGGTGCCCTGCTGTCCCTCGCTTCTCCTTGGTCACACGTGTTCGGACCAACAGGTTACATAATGTAGTTTCTCTAACTCCAAAGACAAGCACCTATAAGCAGTGTTTCGTTCTGGTGCACACAGGGTCACTACGTGTCAAAACCAAGCTGACTTTCTGAGTCAGAACTCGAGCACTGACTCACAAGCGGAGTGACAGGAGACGGACGGGGTGCACACACGTGCGCACACACACACAGAGGATGGAAGCAGAAGTGCTCTTCCCTACAGAGCAGCTCAGGCTTCTCAGGAGGTGGGAGATAAACCCAGAGGTCAAGATGCTAGCCTGGGCACATCAGGGAGTGATCATGGAAAGTACTCAGATTCCAGAGAGTTGGCTCTTAACGTTCTACTGATGATCACGCCCAATGCCAACTGCTCTGGACTGTGCCACTGCATGCCCCAGGTACGACAACTGAACTGTCCCCAGCACGGTCTGTCAGAGGCCAGCAAGCAGCACAGCGTGTGAAATGGTAGCAACACTTACCTGTCTTTCTGTGTCCGGAGGGGACGGGCACTCCCCGGCCCTGGCGTACTGTCCAGAGGAAACGGGCTCTCGACCTTGTTCATACTTGGACTTAGGATCCTGTGTGTCTGTGGATCCCTCAGAGGTGTCTGAAAAGTCACCTGTCAGGGGAGCGGGAAGGAAAGGCGGCCTCGTAAAGGCTCCATCTCCTCCAGCCAGTGGCTGCCAGCAGTGTGCCAGCTCGGTGAGCCACCGGCAGAGCAGCTGAGGAGGGGAGGCACGGGAGGCACGTTTGGCTGGACACGGGGCCAGGCCACACTCACCTTCATCGCTCTGGCTGTGTTTCTGGGTGGCACATTTTCCTTCTGCGACAGACGGAAGACAGAAGATCTTCCAGTTAGTTCTAGTGGTGAAAACAGGAAGTTGCAGCTCTCTGTGGCCCTGTCACCGGTGATGTTTTCGTCCTTTAAGATCTGCAGACTCATTCTGAAAAGCAGACCACACTTGTTGTCAGCAGGAGGGTGACCAGGACAGTGCCCTTCGGTGTCAGAACTAGGGTGCAAGCCTGAGTTTCTCCCCCTTCCTCTCCGAGGGGAGCAGCTGTGGGCAGGGACCCAGGCGTGACAGTGCCCAGGCTGACCCTGCGGGGTGCAACATCCCCTTTCTGCAATAGCTCAGTTCTGTGCCCCAGAAATCAGGCCTTCTGCAGCAGGTCCTCTGCCAAACAGGGCAGGTAGAGTGGGACCCGTCCTGCCCACCAGGCGGGGAGATTATGGGCAGTGCCACCACATCCCAGCCCAAGAGCGAAAGGGCCTTCCACCTGACGAAGACAAAGGAAACTAAACAGCTGCACTAACTAGTCAGGATTATGACCACTTTCTGAGGCAAAGAGCCTATAAGAAAATTCAAGGAGACAAAGGGCACCTTGGTCTCCCCTCTGTGGCCCCGATTCAGGGAAGCAGCTGGAATGCTGAGCCAAGTAACAGAACAGCAAAGTGGTGACATGGGGCTGCAGTCTGGGCTCCCCCCATCCGGTCGGAGAGCGGGGACTGGATGGAGCATGAGGACGAGGAGCCAGCAGCTGGGAGCAGAGGCCCCAGCAGCACGAGACAGTGACCAGGGGGGGGGCGGGGTGTCCAGAAGCCTCCACGCAGGCTGGAGTCCAGGACCCAGAGCAGGGCCTCCGGCTGCCCCGTCGGTTCTAGACTGGCTCCCCTCCTGCTTCAAGGCCCTTGTGTAGCCCCCACGGGACACACATTTATCTCGCTCTCTGCCAACAGCATCCCTATAGCAGGCTTCACCAGAGAGAAACCAGGCACAATAGAAACAGGTGAATCCCAGAAAGAAAGGCCGTTATGGCCCCCAGCTGCCCTTCAGGTCTGGAACTGAACTCACTCCTTGGCTTCCAGCCAAACAGGCATATGGGGTGAACGTTTACATTAGGTAGATACACTCCCTAGAGAACATAAGGGCAGTGTTTGCACAGGGAGACAGCTCGGGGAGTAGGAGTACATGGGAGGAAAGGACACAGGAAAGAAGTAACTAGGGGAGTAAGCGAGAGTTGTTACATTGAGAGGAATTGCAGTCAACCTCAGGAAACGAAATGTGTACGAAATACTGTATGGAAAATGGGTTTGTTCTGTAAACATTCATCCAAATCACAATAAAAATTAAAGATAAAAAGAAAGGCTGTGGCTGGCCCCAGTTCGCCGTCTAGGGGCTGGGGCTGCAGTTGGAAGGAGAGCAAGCAGACCAGTACTGGAGACGGTGGGCCAGGGTCCCCGGGGCCCCAGCCAAGAGCTTCCAGGTGGTGGAGGTTGGGCACCGTCATCAACCTGGTTTAGAACACCTCTCTGGCTGCTGTGTGGAGGGTCAGAGGCTACTACAGTGGTCTGAGGAGAGCTGGGATGTGGGCATGGCCGGGGGCTCATGGGAGACATACAGAGCAGAAGACGCCAATCAACGGCGATCGTTGGGCTTCCGGCCTGAGCCACGGCGTGAACCGGGTGGGTGGGGCCGGATGGCTGTGGTCGCACAGATCTGGACCTTGGGGAGAGGAGGGTAGCCTGGCCTGGAGGAAGGCAGGAGACCACCACCAGCCTTCCTTCCTCAGGTTTGCCCGTGACTCTTTTACGACAGGGAGCCACAGGAGGGGGTCTTAAGCAGAGGAGTGACACAGGTCAGGCTTGAATTCTGAGGCCATTAAGAGGCTGTGGTGGTAACTGAGGAAGCCGTAAGTGGCTATTGATCAGTCCTGGTGAGAACCAGCAGCCTGGGCACGATGCCGGGAAGAGGAGGCTGGAGGTCGGATTTTCTGTGGTAGCTGGGGCAGCTATGCTCCCCAGGTGTGGTTAGTGTGTGGATAGACAGTGCTCAGCTGCTAACTGAAAGGTGGGAAGTTCAAGTCCACCCAGACACACCTCGGAAGAAAGTCCTGGCCATCTATTTTTGGTGGCAGTGGAGCGGGGGAACCCAGTCACTGGAAACCTTGTGGAGCAAAGTTCTACTCTAACACGAGTTGGAATCTACTCGACCACAACTAGGATCTTTTTCTCTACACAGATGTGAGTTTGTCAGGGTTCTCAGGTTGAGTATGAGAAGCAGCAGCCCAAAGGATGGGCCCAAGAGGAGCGTGAGCTGGCATAGCAGAGCAGAAAGGGACAGCAGGAAGCCAGGGTAGGGGTGGGACTAGGAATCCTGGCTCAGGGACCTGGGGAAGGCAGTGAGGTGGGAGGCCGGCAGGCTGAACGTGTTGGAAAGCAGACTGCATTTGTGTGTCAGGGGTCTGCTGATGCTGAGGTCACCCAGGGAGCAGGTGCAGAGGAAGAAAATGGGAAGCCCGTGGACCGTGCCCTATTGAGTGGACTTTCTGAAGGAGAGCCCCACCGAGGGCGGGGGCTTAGGAGGCAGGTGGAGAAAGGGCTGCAGGGGAAGTGGTTATCTGGCTCCAGGCAGTGGTCAGGTCTGACAGGATGAGGCCCGAGCGTGACACGTGATTTACCACCACACAGGTTGGTGACTGTGGTGGTTAAATTTGTGTGTCAGCTTGGCTGGGCCTGGTTGAGTGGCTGGGCAGCTGGTGGTAGTTATTCCCCATAATGAGGCTGGCAATCAACTCCATGGTGGGATCTACCACAAGCACCTAAGTAGCTGCCTTTGGGATGTGGTCTGCTTCCTGTATATAAGGAGAAGCCTTGGGGAACTGTCTCTAGATTATGGCACACTTGGACCCTGCATGTAGCTGAGTCGTTGTTCAGCAGCGTGCCATGCTTTGTGACCTTGGGACTTATAATGGACTTGAATTAATGGTCTGCTGTGTGGTTTGGTAACATTGGGGCTGTGCCATTTTATTTGTCAACCTTGGGCTTGTTAACCTCAGCAGCCAGTAGCTGCCTGAGTGAAGAGATGCTTCCAGCTTTAGTGGGTTGGCAGCAAGAGGCAGAGCTGAAGCCCTAGGTCGAGAGGCTTTCACCCAGTCCCTAGAGCCTGGCACTTGGAACTCGGACTTAAAGCCTCCAAACTGTAAGAATAAACTCCTGTTTGTTAAAGCTACCCCATTTGTGATATATTCTTGTCAGAGTACTATTAGAAAACAAGAACAGTGCCCCTGCAAGAAAGTGTCACTAGGATGGTGGTGGCAAAAGCCGGATTGCAGCAGGCTCAAGGGAGAACAGGTAGGCTGTGGAGACAGCAGATGCAGAGACGTCCTGAGAAGTATCCGGAAAAGAGGAGCAGAGAAATGGTTAGTAGTTGCAAGGGGCAATAGTATCTCATTTCAGAATGAATGTCACATATAATACGCTGATTCCAGGACCCAGTAGAGGCTGGCTGGCAACAAGGGGGAGTTAGACACACTGAGTGCCCAACGGAGTCCTTGACCCATAAAAAAAGGACACGAGCTTAGAAACAAGAGCAGAGGCCGGACAGCCACAGGGACGAGGGTGGGAGTTGCCGCACGTCCCCTTACAATGTTTCCCCGGCCTTATCCAACCAAGAAGCAAGAAGCGAGTGTTAAAACCCAAGTGTTACAGATCTGAGAAGAGATGAGGTAGTGGGAGGGCCAACAGACCTGGGAACAGAATAGCGCGGCGGGAGCCGAGGGAAAAAAAACAAGCCAGGCCTGAACGGGAGCCAACGATCACGGGATGGGAGGGGCGGGAAAGGCTCCCCTCCCCCACACTCGCCAACGCGGGTCTCGGCTATGGCTCGCACCTGAGTCACCCACCCTCAGCACGCAGCCTGCAGTGCAAAACGCGAACCTTTCCGCGCTGGGGTCAGAGTCCTCTGCAAGAGCCCCCAGCTGCTGCAGGGCCAACGAGGGGACCCCAGTGACACAGTGCGCGGGGTGTGTGTGTGAGAGAAAGCTTCCGGAGAAAGTGGTGGCCGAGCAATGAGGCCCAGTGGGCCCCCGAGAGCAGAGGCCAAATGAGGGGCCACGCCCGAGGCCGCCCGCAACGACCCCAGCTGAGACAGTCCGGCGCCTCCAGCCCCCCGACCGCCTCCAGATGCCAGGGGGTAGGCTCCTGCCACCGCGCCCGTGACCGGGATGCGGTCACCTGCCTACCTGCCCGTCCGCCCGCCGCCGGGCTCCGGGCCTGCGTCCCGCTGCTCGCCGAGAGAAAGGAGATAAGGTAGGGGAAGAGAGGCGCCTGCTTCGCCGCCGAACCCCGGCAGTCAATACCCGCTGCGATTCCCCGCCGGAGTGCTGCTGTACGCCGCGCCCCGCGGATTCAAATACCGACGGTTGGCTCCGCGCGGCCAATCAGCGCGCGGGGGGCGCGGGCTATGCAAGAGGCTGTAGAGCCAATGGGAGGCCACGCTGCGCCAACCCCCGCCCACCCTACCCCGTGAGCACTGCATTCTGCTTCCTGGCGCGAGGGGCAAGCTGGGAGCTGTGGGCGGGGCGGCGGAGCGCCCACGGAGCTGAGGGGAATCTCAGTCCCGCCGCATAAGTGAAAAAGTAGGGATGCCCGTGGCCAGGCTTCTCAGAGGTGACGGCGGGGAAGCGTCACAACCGCATAGCTCGGCTCCGCACTCACGTCCACGTATGGTCCCTTCCTGCCGCCAGGCCCCGACGGGCAGTGACTGTGGGGGCTGCTGTACTCTGGAGGATCTGTGGTTCTCCCAGGACGTGACTGGGGTGGGGCGGCCTGGGAGCCACACGCTCGGGTCTCAGTTTCCCTAGGTGTAAAATGATGACGCATCGCCGCCTCCAGGACCGGCCGTGCCCACGAACTGCACCCTTGCCGAGGCTCTGTCTCGCACTGGCCCGCAGACGACAAGGACTCCATCTCCCAGAATATCTTGCGACCGGCTGGGCGGTGGGGGCTCTCTTTCCCCGGGTGCACCACGGACAGCCGGAACTCATCTCCCAGACTGCTCTGCGTGCGTCGGGGACTCCATTTCCCAGAACGCCCTGCGGCCGGCCTGGCGGCGGTGGCCACAACTGACGCGTCGGGACTGGAACGCTCAGGCCTCTTCCCGTGGCGGCGGGGACAGCGGGCCTCGCTCGGGCGGCTTCCCAGCGGCAGCGCCATGGACAGCCCCGAGGTCACGTTCACCCTGGCCTACTTGGTCTTCTCCGTGTGCTTCGTGTTCACGCCCAATGAGTTCCACTCGGCCGGGCTCACCGTGCAGAACCTGCTGTCGGCCTGGCTGGGCAGCGAGGACGCCGCCTTCGTGCCTTACCACCTGCGCCGCACGGCCGCCACTCTGCTGTGCCACTCGCTGCTGCCGCTCGGTGAGGCGGGCCGGGCCGCTCCCGGGGACTGCTACCTCCCCACCCAGGCCCCACCTGCCCGCACACGCAGGCCCCGACCCCCATGGCCCTGCCCGGCGGCGTGGGGACAGCTCACCGCTGGCCTCTTCCGGGCAGTGAGCTATCTGGCTGGAGCTTTGAGCTCACGACTCTCAGTGTCTGCAGGCGCAGCCCCTCAGCGGTGCTGACACGGATTTCAGAAATTCCCACCTCTCTGCTTGGTTGTCGCCTGTGAGGTTCTGGGCCAGCTCTTTCCCAGAAGTAGTGCGCCGCTCCGTGGTACGACCTGAAGGCGGTACTGAGTCCTGAGTCGGCAGGCCCTTTCGCTCTCTCCCGGCCTATTTCCTGGTGTCACAAACCAGGAGTCAGGCCAGCTTGCCCTTGTTAAGGAGAGCGGACTCCCAGGAGGGATCCCGTGCACACCTGTGCCCCGAACTCATTGGTTGGGGGTGGGTTTGCATGCGTGCAACTCAGATCTCCCCTGCCCCACCCACAGATGTAGCATAAGCGTGGTGGACTGCGTCCCACCCAGGAGGAGGGCAGTGCAGGGCTGGTGTGGGGCATTCATGGATGTCCTGCCATGTCTCCCCTCTGGACAGTGGCCTCAAAGTCTGCACGGCACTGAACCAGCAGCTCCGTCGGCTTGCTGACTGGAGAGAACCAGAGAGTTCCCACCAACACCTGCTTCCTTGCACATCTGGAGGTGGGGAGTGGCTGGGATGGGAAGTGGCTGTTCCCAGGCATGCCAGTCAGGAGCTCTAGAAAGCAGATGCTCAGATGAAGTTCATTGTGCAAAGGGTTCTTGAGAAAGGAGCAGGGAGGAAGTGGGTCCAGGCAGGGGAGCAGCACCAACCGCCCCCTCCCCCCAGTGGGAGGCTCTGAAGTCTGGGTTGGGGAGAAATAGGCAGACTCCAGGACCACAGTCTCGCTCAGGTGTTGGCTAGAGCCACCCCGAGGAGACTGACCTCGGTGCGAGGCTCGGCACCATTCTGAGGGGTTCTGAATAGAGCTTCTCGTGTCTGCCTCTTGGGGACCTACTCCTCAAAGGGTCAGAAAAGGGGTGCCCGGCCAGCAGTGTCAGTACCTGTTGTAAGGTCGCGGTAAAGAGGATAAGGCACACAGAAAGTACAGTAAGGAAAGCTTTATTCTGCGCCCCGGGGCGAGACTCACGGGTCCCTGAAAGGGGCCAGAGAAGTCGCGCCACCCGAGTGAAAGAAAAGGGTTTTTATAGTGTTATTTTTCCTGTTCTTCAGCGGAAGGGTTGAGAGCAGGGGATGTGTTACAGGAACCAATGAGGTTAAAGCACCCTATTAGCATGGGGGCAGGAAGTAGAGCTGAAGCACTTCATTAACATAGTGGGCAGGAAATGGTTGGGGGCTTTCCTAAGCAAGGGTTAGGTGTTAGGGTCTTTCGTAAGTAAGGGTCATGCGCTGGGGTTTGGTATGGGTCTGGTCAGGCGCTTCCTTGCTTGACCAGTTCTTATAATTCCCTCCGGCTTAATCATTCACCCGCCTGGCCTGCTTTGTTCCTGTTCCTGCCTGACACCTGTCACTAATGAAAAAACCAAACTCGCTGCCATTGAGTTGGTTCCAACAAGTAGCAACCCCTTCTTGGAACTCTGAAGCGGTATCTCTACGGAAGTAGATTGCCCAGTATTCGGAGGAATAGCTGGTGGGTTTGAACTGCCAGCTTTCTGGTAGCAGTCAAATGCCTTAGGCACTCAACACTTACTGTTAGTTTTTGCTAACTTAAACCTACCTCACTGCCCATGTTCTGCTGTGAGTCAGAGATGACTCGATGGCACTTAACAACAACAACACTGTCCATGTTATCACTCTGGTTGATGTTCTGGGTGGCCCCTGGGTTGCTGTGATTGTCCTTACCATTCTTTGAGCATATCCTGGCTTCTCCGGTGGTGTAGAGCTTAAGGCGTTAATGCTATGAGTCGAATCGACTTGAGAGCAGTGAGTTTGGTTTGGGTTTTGGCTTCCTGGCACTGTGTGAGCTCCACCCCCACTCTGGAATGAGCCCACCTCCCATCGACCTCCTAAGGAGAATGGGATTGACAGGCCACCGGGGCTATGCCTGTACGGTGGTCACCTCTGCGTGGGTGACACCAGATCACTGTATGTATTTCTGCTTTTTTAACTTTTTCAGTCACATATTACTTAAATAAGGAGCTCTGGTGGCATAGTGCCTAAGGCATTTGACTGCTAACCAGAAGGCTGGCGGTTCAAACCCACCAGCCACTCCTCAGAAGGAAGGTTGGGGGATCTACTTCACTAGTGATAACTGCCTCGGAAACCCAAGG